CGGGCCCCGGGGAGCTGACAAGGCAGAGAGCCCAACGCTGAGACCTCTGCTGTCACCCACCCACCGGCCCCTCCTGCTTATCCCCCGAACCAGGGGTGGAGAAGCTTTATTGGGCCAAGGGTCATTTGGATATGGATCATGTCGTTCGAGGGTCTTGCAAATCTTACAAAGTAGCCTGCTCTCTTTGGTCAAACATGTCTTGGACGCGCCCTGATGGCTTCTCGTTGGCGAGGTGTGTGATGGTAGCTGCCGGGCAGGGTGATCCCCACCCCTGCTCTAAACCCAGTGTCCTCCGCCTTCGTCCCTCCGGTCCCTGTGCCCTGGGCTCTGGGATCCACGTGGTGACTTGAGAGACCTCTTGGCTGCCTCGCTGCCAACCATCTTTCCTCGGCTTCGGTACAGCGCCCCCTCTGGGGAAATCTCAGCGCCTGCCCTGTCCAGTAACTAACTGCTCACCTCTGACCCCAAACACCCTGCCTTCTGACCTCCACCTTCCCCCCTTCCTCCTCGGCTGCCCAGCCTCAGGGCAGGTGGTTGGTCGGCCTCAGGCACTGCCTGGTCCATGGCACTTCTCTGCCTTGCCCGTCCTACCGTCTCATCCAGGTCGATCCTGTCCCTGCAAAGACTCCTTTTTCGGCTTCCTCTCTCGCACCTCTTCTCACTCCGCACTAGCCCCGCCCTCGCTGAGCCCCGAGCCTTCGGGTGTGACTGCAAGGAACTGAGGCCCCGGGCTGGCATTTCCTCTGTCAATTCACAGCCACCCGTCTCAAAGGAGCATGTTGTCAGCTCCAGCAGCTCTCCCTCCGCTTTCCAACAACCTTCCAGATCCATGGCCCTGGCCTCCCCACGTGTCTTTGAAAAAACAGGCCTCCCTCCACACAGTAGACCCCCACCCCACCCCAGAGACCCACTACCACATCCCCCAGCGGGCCCGCACCTGGGCCTGTCTCTGCTGCCTCCCTTCTGCCACCGTGATGGGACAGCTTCTGCTCTTGGGGACCGCCCCCCCCACCTCAGCCCAGGGACTGTCCCCCCTGCCACCTCAGCCCGTTCTCCCTCACCTCAGAAGCCATTTGCTCCCTCCTCTTCAGCCCTGACTGCTGTGTGGCTTCTGGGTCCGTGGTCAGCGTGACCTGTCTGTTATGCAGGCTGTCCTGCCTCAGGAAAGGAGGCCCTCCCAGACCCCACTTCTCCACCCCCTTCTCTGCCCCACTTCAGAGCAACGTTTCTCAAGAGTCACTGCACCCTGCTTCCTTTCCCACGTCCAGGTCAGTTTGTAACCCCGGCCTGCCTTCTGTCCCCACCACACGCCCACAGCTGGTCTTCCGTGGGTCACCCCAATAGCTTCTGTGCGGCCATCGCTGTCCCGACTCCCTCCTCTCCTCCCACGCCCTCCAGGAGTTCCCAGTCAGGCCCACCGCCTTTCTCTCCTTG